CGCGCCCCCCACACCCGCGCTCGGCCTCGCGGAGGAGCGGCCATGCCGCCGCGGCGCAGCATCGTGGAGGTGAAGGTGCTGGACGTGCAGAAGCGGCGGGTGCCCAACAAGCATTATGTGAGTGCCGCGCGGTCCCCACGCCCCCTCGCGCTGGGCCCGGCCGGGGTGACCAACAGCCCCCGGGCTCTGAAAACTTGTGCCTTCTGTGCTTTTTGCCCCCACCCCCTCCTCTCGGCCCTCGGCCCTGCTGCTGCGCGGCCCGGGTCTCTCAGGGCTCCTCCCCTCTCCCCCTCCCCCTCTTTTTTGCCCCCTTTTGCTCCTCCTTCCAGTCCTCGCGCCTCGCCCCCATCGTCTCTGCGTCTCCTCTTCCCCTTTCCGACTCCCCTCAGTCCCCACCCCCCACTCTCGTCCTGCCGGTCCCTGGAAAAGTCTGTCCGCAGCCGGTGTTGGTAATAGGGACAGAAAGAGGAAAGGAAAGAAGCGCCTGCAGGCTGCCCACTCGGTGCCTCCGTGTGCTCCGGAGGCGCTCAGCCCAGCCACAGGTAGCCCCTTTAGGGATCGCCGAGTTTTGCTTGGTCCTCCCGGAGGAGCCGGCCTGAGCTTTAGGGGTGTTCTCTCAGGACAGATGCTTTGAGTACCTGCGCCTTGAAAGGGTTAAAAATAGCCCCTGCCCTCTCGCCCAAAATAACTTGTGCTTCAGAATGTATGAAAGTTCTCTCCAGGTATCTACCTTTGTGAAATGGTCATCTGGTTTCCAGATGGCGAGGACTTGAGAAATGGGCCAGTAGTGTCAAAGATGGGAAGGCTGAGGCTCAAAAAGGCTTCGGGCTTCAAATGGGGAGCTGCTTTCAGGCTTCCCCAGCCGCTGGAAAGTGTTGGGGCCCCGGGGTGACCAGTCGGTGGGAAATGGTTTCCGCAGCAGCACAGGCGCCGGAATCTGCAGATTCCAGGGGCTCTAGGACCACCTCAGAGGTTCTGAGCAGAGGGATCACGGGGCTGTGGGAGGCTGGGCCCAGGTGAGGCCTTGGGGAGGCCTGGCTGCGGGAGAGAAGGGGCTATGGTGTCTCTGGTGGTGAGAAAGGGGCAGTGGCAGAGGCGAGCTGCTGCGGGAGAAGTTAACCAGGAAGGGAAAAAGAGCAAGAGGGAGGGAGAAAATCCTAACAAAGAAGTGTAGAACAATGAATAGCAAAGGGCGTTGGCTGGCTAAATTCAGCTCCTTGGCCCCTGCAAAAGTCATCTTTGGATCTTTTTTCACAAGAGCCTCATTACTCCAATACAGATCTGTGTGCCCGCCACGAGCAACCTCTAAAATTCTGAGAGGAGATAGGTGGGCATCCAGTCTGCACTAAGAGAAAAAGGGTGTGCTGTGTGAGTCTGTATTGTTATTGGCTGGGCAACCAGTTATTCAGCCCTTTGCCAGGAGGTGGGAAGCTATTTCCTGGACCTGTGGCATCTTTAAATAGAGTGAAGTTTCCCTTGATTCCAGGGCTGAGCTAAATTGTCCTTTTTTCTTCCCCCCTTTTTTTGCTGCCAACTGTTTCAAATGCTTCCAAACCTTGGGTTTCTTGTTTGAGCCTGTTGAGGGTGAACCTGACCGGCCTCTTTGCTATAAAGACAGTTTTCACCAACATGGCCATGGGAGGAAGTCTGACATTCTCCAGGCTCCCACCTACCAGACCTGTGAGCTGACAGGACCAGGCTAGACACTGCTGCCTAACCTGGGCATCATCGTCCAAGTGCTCTTTCTTTTCTCTCCCTGTCACAGCATTTCAGGAAGAAGTTCTTAAACCCCTTGACAGATGAGAAAACTTAAAGCTCAGAAAGGTGAGGCCATGTAACTGAGATCACAGACAGGAACAGAGCAGGGATTATAAATCGAAGTCTCTTGGAGCCCAGGATGTTGTGTATCCCAGACCATTCACCCTCCCAAAGACTATACCCCCGACTTTTCCTATGCAAAGTTCCCTTTAAAGATAGAGAAATCTGGCCCTCCCTGGTGGCGCAGCAGGTTAAAGCACAGCACTGAGAAGCTAAAGCCACTTCCGCATGAGTTCAATTCCCGCCTGCTCTGGAGGTGACCACATGGCGCGGCAGACCTCTTCTGACCCGCCTGCTGCTCCCCTCAGCAGTGTACTTCGTAGATCTGCCTGTTCTGCTCCCCACTCTGTCTCTGGTGAATCCTACCGCCCCTGAGCCTCTGGCCTGTACCCCAGTTCTGTATGTACAAATAAATCAATCTTAAAAAAAAAAAAAAAGATAGAGAAATCTGCCATTTGTGATCACCATGAGACTTACTCTGCTCAGTTAGATGCCTCCTTGACAACTCTAAAAGGTTCTGCAGCTTTGAGGGACATGTTACTAAGCCTCCCCTCCCAATTTGGGAGCCTCTTGACATAATTCTAAATGTTACAATACTGGTTTGTATTCAGACCTTGCATTTACCACTTGCTGCATGGGTCACCTCTGAGCCTGGGTCATTTCTTCTGTAATATGGGAATGGTGTGCCCTCCTCCGGGGAGGAGAGTTGGTGTTCCATAACCTTTCTTGCCTGCCTCCCTGCCCCGTGGTGTACACGTCACTCTGATTGGGCACATGCTGAAGTCACATGAGAGATTTCACCAACAACTTGTTTTTGTACATGACAATTTCATCACTCTTATGATTCAAGGCGCCCCCCCCCCGTAAGCAGCCACGTGGTTTTATCAGATGAAGAGAGAAAGTGGTTTGAACTGAAGCCTGTTGAACTGAAATCCATAAGTACCTAGAAAATTTAATGCCAGGATGGCAGCCATCCTTACCTGTTCTTAAGCCATACTCACCCTTGCCATTCTGGAAAGAAATGGCATGGAAACAGCTATTTTCATGGGTCTGGATTTCATCTCATCAGGCATCATCCTTTCTGAACCAAATCCAGTCATCCTGGGAGGATAACATGAACAGAGGAGTTGGACAGTTCCTCGTTCTGCCATGATCTGCTGTGTGACCTTGGGCGAATCTATTTACCTCTCTGAACTCTGAGTTCCACTGTCTATTATCACTGTACATTCTAAACATTGCTGCTTCCCTGTAAAGTAGAATTTCGCCATGGACATGAGGGCAGATCATTCTTTGTTGGTGGGAGGGATTGTAGCATGTTTAGCAGCATCTCTGGCCTCTGTCCCCTAGATGCTAGTAGAATCCTCCTCTCCAGTTATGACAATCAACCATGGAGGGGCAAAATGGCTCTTTCCCCCACTCCTAACCTCACCCCCTATACTAGAATATGCATATGTTATGGGGTGTTCTCCTCACCATGCCCCTCATTCTCATCTCCACCACCCTCCTTATCCTTTTCCCCACCTGGACCATCACCAGCGCATCTGAGTTGCCTTAGAGGGAATGGAGGTCACAAGTACTGACACTGTCACTGGAGAACTGCATCTGGAATATCAGGGCTGGGCCACCTGTTCTATCTGCAGTGGCATCTTCTCCGTGGAAGCTGCCTTTCTCGATGCTATCCCAGCCTCCTTCACCTGTGAGCAGACACTCTGTGGGCCCAGGGACAGAGCTGCAGGCCAGGTCTGGAGAATGCAGGGGCAGAAGCCCCTAGAGCTCTGAAATCCCCATGGGTAGGGATTATCAGTGGTGATAGTATCAACATATTATAATTTGGAGAAGGACCCACCACCTTCTGTTAGAGGTAGGAAGATGAAGTCTTTGAAGGATGCAACCCTTCTTTGCCTGTTCCAGAGCTTTCTAGAGGAATAGCAAGGGTAGAATTCATGTGTGATGCCCCCCGACCCCCACCCCAGGGAGACCCTTTCCAGTTAGGTTACCCTCTGAGTTGAAGAGAGGCTGAAGGGCTCCCTATAGGTTCAGGGTTTTTTATGTTTGGATTGTTTCATTTACTGCACTGGACAGGGATGTCCAGATGGGTTTGGGAGTGCAACTCTGTTAGCAGAAGGAGATGCTGGCTTGCTCTTGAGATCTTTAGAGGCTAAGAGAACAAAATGGTGGTAGTAATAGTTAAAGTAGCAATAACCCTAATAACTGATACTTGATCAGTTGTAGGCCCAGCACTGATTAAGCCCTTTGTATTAGTCATCACAGCAGCCCTAAAAATAGCCCTGTTATAAAAATCATTATACAGATATATATAATAATAAAAAACATACCTACCAGCCAGCTCTGCCAGATGTTTACATTTTGCCATATTTTTAGATCCTTTTTTAAGAAATAAGATATTGCATATGCAAAGCCTCTGATATGCCCTCCTAATACTAACACCCCCAAAGAAACAGCATACATTTAATATTTACCATTCCCATGCACATTTTAAAAACACACTAGTAGATGTTTTCTTTTTTAACAGCGTTGTTGGAATGTAATATATGTACCATGAAGTTCACCCCTTATTAAGAATATGATTTGCTGACAATGTATTGAGTTGTATAGCCATCATCACAATCCAATTTTATGTCTTTCACCCCCCCAAAAGAGCCCTTACCCCATTTACAATCAGCCTCCTCCTGCCCACTGCAGCCCCCAAAACATTTTAATGTTTTGACTTTTTAACAGTCCTCCAAAATCTTGTATTGAATGTTTCAAAACTGTATAAAAACATTATAATGTGAGGGCTCTGCTGATACAACACCAGTTCATTTTAACTGCTGGTTAGTATTCCACTTCGGATTATACCCCTGTTGATTTCAGCTCCTGGAAGGGCCTTTTAGGATCTTTCCAGCAGGACGTGTAGCTGCTACTTGCACATATGCCCGAGGCCGGGGTGCTGGTTCTCAGGGTTTGTGTAACTTACCTTACATCCCCGGAGCCATGTCTGAGGATCCCTTTGCTTCATGTTCTTGCTCACACTCTGAATTGTCAGACTTTTTAGTTTTTCCCAGTCGAGTGGAGGTAAAATAATATCTCACGGTGGTGTGGATTTGCATTTCCCTGCTTACTACTGAAGTGGAGCATCTTTTTACATTTTTATCAGCCATTTGAGTTTCCTCTTCTGTGAATTGCCCATTTTATCCATTGCCCTTTTTTCAGTATTGAGCTGTCTTCTACTAGTGTGTATGATTTATTTATACACTCAGGACCTTAATCCTTCAGCTACTTACATTAGCATTCTCATT